AATTATGGATGTCCTCTTTCATATTTCTTGGCTCCGATATTCCTGATAGCTTATTCACCAACTTAAGTATTTAAATAAGGTGCTTATGTGAATATTCATTGTTGAGAGTTGAGCTCTTAAAAAAATAAAAACCTATTATATAATTTAGTTATCAAAAGTAAAATGACAGACGCCAATCAGTACATTAATTCAAATTTCGCTTTTCCTAGTGTAAATAGATTACTTATAACATCACTAGATGTTAGTAATAGAAACTTAATAAATAAGATAAATTTGGGGCCATCAGAAAATTTTACTAATTTAGTTCAACTAAATACTTCATCTAATCAAATAAATGGTTTTGCTTTAGGGCAACTACCTAACTTGAAAGTAATGGATTTTTCTCATAATATCCTTACTAATTTCATAATGAAAAACAATTTATTATTACCACGCCTTGAAAATATTAATCTTTCTCATAATTATTTAACTAATGTTGGTCCGGGTTCTATTATACTTACTCATCTTGATGTCAGCAACAACTTATTAACTTCTTTAAATTTAAATGATTGTAAGAACTTAATTACATTAAATTGCTCTGGCAATTCAAAACTTTCGAATTTGACTTTAAACCCCGCTTTTGACCCTTCCGATTCAAATGCTTTCGATTGCCGGGGGACAGGCCTCAGTAAAGTCAATACTACTTCTTACATATATGATTACAAAGCAGGCACTAGGACTTTAGTAAACCCTATAGGTACTGGTATTACTACAGGCCAAACAGCTGTAACTGTAACAACACCCAACAATAATAGTTTATCTATTGAAATTGGTATTGGTGTGGGTGGAGTAGTTTTAATCGGAATATTGGTTGTTATTGGATTATTTATTTATAAAAAACGCAATAGAAACATTATGAAATTTTTTGTAGTAGCTGCTAAAAATACTTTAAAAATTTTATAGAAAATAAACTTTCTAAGTTACAAGCACTATAGAGAGATTTTCAGCAATTTTTAGCAAAAGATAGCAGCTAAAAGACAATATATACATAAAAAAAATTTCATAAAAATTCACAAGAAGCAAAATACCAGGAAGTAATGGATATGATATATAAATAGAAAAAGTTATGTCAGAAATATTGTTATATAAAGAGCCATATTACGTAGCATATTTGATTTATGTATTTAAACTTATTTATTATTGTATTTTTGTATTTATTTTATTTTTGTTAA